TAAAGTATCAACTATGGCTAAATTTAAAAATGTTTTTATTAGAAGTGAAACATGCTATGCATCACAACAGTTATTAAACTACACATAACTCATTAAAACAAAGTTATAAATCATTCACTCTATCAAATTTAGATCACATAATGTTATAAATGGTATACACTTTGTGAAGAAAATTGAAAAAGGACTTTTACTTCACGGGCTTGTGGATATTTGCTTATTAGTTTTTACAGTAAGTAACTGAATTAAGATATCTAGTCTTGATACTAGATTTCTATATCCCATTTTATCTTACAGTATTTTTGGAATGAAAATACTGTAAATCCATATCTTGAATGGAATATTCAATGTAGGCTGAATTGTACCTGAGTTGGATAGAATTATTCACCTTCTGAGAATACACAAGACAGTCTCACTTGTTCAAGCCCACGACTAATATAATTTTTCCACAGCATGCAATTATGGTCTGAAGCAGACCAAAACAAAAATCACTATTTTTAAAGTCTAAACTAAATTTAATAATTGAGATCAGTTGCACAGTGGTTATCAAAATGCAGTTGATGGAAAGGGACGTACAGTTCTATATGCCATATAAAACAAAGGACCATCACAAAAAGTGCTGAGCAAGAGGAAAAAGTGAAATAAATAAAAGTTGAGGAGTGAGAGGAGAAGCTTGAAGGTTTCAGAATGGATTGTCATTTTAGAAGAAAGGAGCATTGGTGGTGAGGAGTCAGCCACCAACATGGGAGCAAAGTAGCCAAGAGTTGTCCCTAGTGTCAACAGGAGTCGGTTTTATATCTGCGCAGTATAGGTAGAGGATATTGCTGATAGATTGTAAGGACGCTGCAGAAAGAACATGAAAAAAAAGTCATAAAAGTGAATGACAGTATTTGGAATGAATTGTAATTTAAGCTACCATTTGGAAAATCACAGGTGTAGGTAATAAAGGCTAGAATTTAGGTTTCAGCAGAGGAGTAGAATATGGATGCATGGAATAGGGTTTGGATACTCCAGATAAGGACAAGCCAGCATTTTATAAATGGTTCACCAGGATTACTTCAACTTGCTTATTTATAATGGCTACAATCCCCCAAGACTTACAATACTACATACTCAACTTGTTCGGTCACCTTCAACAATTTGAACACTGCCAAATTCCCTCTGCTCTTGCAATACAATTCTAAATGAATCTTTCAATTTATACAGCCTTAACTTGATCTTCCTACTAAAGTGCATCACTTCATATTTCTCCGCATTAAATTTAATATGCGACGTGTTGATTTTTTTCTATTCATTTCATTCATGGGATGCAGATGTCACTGGCTGGACCAGCATTTATTGTTCATTCCTACTTGCCCTTAAGAAGGTGGTGGTGAGCTGTTGCCTTCAATAACTGCAGTCAATGTGCTGTAGGCAGACCTATAGCACCAAAATCTCAAGCCAATACCTTCCAAAGTCTATCACCCACCTTAGTTCACAATGCTTCCATTTTGTGCCATGTGCAAATTTTAAATTTCCCACACACATTTAGTCTAGGCTATTAACACAGATGGAGGTAAAACAACAGTCCCAATACTGACATATACTTTTCTCCAGCCCACAAAAAAAAAACATTCACAAGTACTCCTTTTTCTGTCACAACTAACTTGTTGTCAATACTGAGATTCTAATCCAAATATGGATTTCTAAAACCTCTCAGAAAACACGTTCATCATTATCAACTGGATTATCCTTATCAATTCTGCATGTTTATCTTGAACTAGGCACAGTGGCTCAGTGGTTAGCACTGCTGCCTCACAGCACCAGTAACCTGGGTTCGATTCCACCCTTGGGTGACTATCTGTGTGGAGTTTGCACATTCTCCCAGTATCTGTGTGGGTTTCCTCTGGGTACTCCAGTTTCCTCCCAAAGATGTGCAAGATAGGTGGATTGGCCATGCTAAATTGCCTGTACTGTTCAGGGATATGTAGATTAGGTGGGTTACAGAGGGATGGGTCTGGATGGGAGGGTCAGTGTAGACTTGTTGGGCCTAAGAGCCTGTTTCCACACTGTAGGGATTCTAAATTATTTTTCTTGAAAATGCTATTTGCATAAAACAAATCATGCTGGTTTTCTTTATTTAAAAATCAATATTTGTTCTTTTCTGCCTAATTGAAATAGTACTGAAAATAGTCAAGAGATAGACCAGGAACACACCACAGTTTATGTTAGTATGAGCACAATAAATATTTGTGAGAGATGCTAAGGATTAAGTGTGCAACTGCATGCTCCTGCGTGGTTAGGTAAAGTTGCCATAATCCTGCTGGATAAAGGGCTGTTCTCTCATTTGAGAAGGATGACTGGTGGTGGTTTAAGCTGAGCATCACTACACCTCAGGCGAGGAGGGAGGTTAAGAAGGATCCTTCAATGGCAACCTCAGCTGTTGCAGGAATTGAACCCAAGCTGTTGGCATCACTCTTCATCATAAACCAGACACCCAACCAAATTGAACTAACCGCTCCTCCTGAATAGAAACCTGTTCACAAAAGCATCATTCCTGCAACACCCAATTCTCAAACTCTTTGCAAGCCAAGTTCCCCAATGGGAGTTCAAAATTGTAGAGATACCTGTCAAATCTAGATTCTTTATATATCTTAAGAAATATAATGCTTTAATTCTATAGAGTAAGAAGGCTCATATTTGCAGTAACCTGTGGACTTTACTATCCATCTTTATATATAAAAAAAAAACAAATAAAAGTCAACTTCTGGCAAACTATATCAGTTTTGCAGTCACAAGTTACAAATGTATACAATTAAAATGGTTATGCCAAACAATTTGACTTGATCTTTAACAATCATGCAAATCCAAAACAATGCAAAATTAGTCTTTTTTAGAAAATGTTAACTTGTGGTCGACTCAATGATTTACAATGTTACATAACTGAACTCCTGGTTACAGTAGAAAATTACAAATAGAACAGTTATCCAAAAAATGTTAAAACTGCTTTGTTTGCTAAAACTATCATATCCATATCAAGACGAGATTAACATGGTGCTGAATCTGTCTCTATTATCCATGGTTTGGAGCAACATATTCAAACGTAGACTAGAGACAGCATACTTGTCTGAAGTCCAGATATAGGAATCGATATCTTTTAATTTAGCGAGTCTTCTTTGGGAAGATTTCTTTCTTTCTCTCTTCTTTTCCTTCCCTGCTCCCCAATCCACCCACCAAGGTTTCTCACTTCTACTGGGTTGTGTACCAAGGCCATAGTTTTCTAGTCATGCAGCTCTTAAACTCTCAATCATTTCTTTTAGGTAAGGTTTGACAGAAAGTGTCACGTCATGCTTCTGAGAGAGGAATAATAGCTGAGCCTGCTCCAGCTTTATTCCTACAGATTTGCAACTAAATTGTTTCCCAACCTAATCGGTTCAATGACTAACCCATTTTCCATGGTGTTGGTTGAAATAAAAATTTAATGTAATGGGCAGGTGTATAACCATAGCATCTAAGCCCATCAACAGGAACTTTGTTTAATTTTTCATCTAAACTAAGGTGCCTTATCTCAGTCCTGCACTGAAATGTCAGCCTAGACAGTATGCTCAAGCTCAGAACTGGAGTTTGACTTGACCATTTTGCAACTTAAAACGAAGAGCACCAGTGAGCAAAGTTTACAAGTGCAACATCTTTAATTTTTCAATATATAAAGCACATTTCTAAGAATTTTAAAAATCAGAGCAATTCAGCCTTTTGAAACACACAATATTCTTAACTCCAAAATAGAGAAAAAAAAACTCTTATTTACCCCAATACTACTTCAAAATGTTTGGCCATGCTCATCAAGTATCAACTGAATTGGATGGCACATTCTCAAGGTTGAATAACTTGGCAGTACATTCAAAGTCAACACTTAATAATGACCAGATGTTGAAGACCATGGCTAACCTCGAAAAAGGATGCCCACAACTACCTAGCAATCTCTCGTGCAGGTTTCATCTTGCCCAATCTTAATTCGAGTCTGGTGCCATGTCAAAAAGAACTCCATTGCTTCCTGAAATGGAGGTCGTCAAGTAGGGTAAGCAGCCAACCACACTGAACTGTTTTCAGACAAACAAGGAACTAAAATTACTTTTTTTTTTTCGCGGAGCATCAGAATAAAGATTGCAACAAACTCATGGGATTAAGATAGATGCTAAAATATTTAGCTTTTCCAAAAAAAAAAACACTAAATCTAGAATTTAATAAATAGTTAGTTTCAGGGCCAGGGAGATGTTAATGTAGCCCAATGTAAAATAAACTAGAAACCTCATTCAACAATATGCAACTTTTCCAAAGATTTTTATGAGGAAACAAACAGCATCAAAAGGTGGAATTTATTTGTCAATTGAGTGAATACTAATATTTTGTGACATATGGGAACTTCAACATTGCATTCTATGGGAAGCATATAATCTTGACAGCACCATCTGGATATCTGCATTCAATTGCATACGTGTGGACTCCAGGAGCTGTTGGCAATTTCAGAAGAGTAGTGACATTGAATGCTGAGTTTTGCCATTATTGCCATAGCCAGATCCAGGACAATGGCTACTTGATCATCCAGTATTTTGCTTTTCAGTAAACATAGAGCAATAATCCAGGCTAAAATCAGCAGCAAATGATTCAGGAAAAAAAGCAAGAACTTCCACAAGACTGGCTTGAATAACAACAGGATGGCGTCCAACTCCAGTCAAACAAGGTTAGTTAACTACCCAACAATTTTAAAAGTTAGTTGGCTTTGAAACTTCAAAATGTTTAAATACGAAAAGCAAAAATTATATTAAAAAGAGTCTAAATATAAAATGTTCTATTCATTGGAAATTGTTGTAAATAACTTGCAGCATTAAATGCTTAGACTGTTGATAGCCAAACTACATACAAGACTTCATGTTTCAACATATACATAACTGATGCAGAACTGTAAGAATGAAATAATTCCCAATTTAAAATTCACTGATTTAAATCAGAAAGGGCAATAAACATTTGAGTTAATAATAAAGCAGTTTATTTTCAATAGTTTAACCTATGAGGGTTGTTGTCACCATATTACGATATTAAAATACAATGAAATTTGAAAACTGATCAATACAATTATTTTAATGTACAAAGTTTTAATTACTGGAGCACATAAATCAGTTTCTCAATATCTGCTAGCATTAAAAACAAAGAAAAAGGCAGCCCTTTAGACCACTTTATTCAATTTAGCATTTAAAATATATTTGATAGAATGGCTGAAATTCTACATCTCGAATCTTGACTACGCAACACAATGCATGTTTACAGTCCATTGTGCACACTATATTTTAAGATTGTTTTTAACCAAGAACAAAATATATTTTAAAGAAAATAGGGCGTTGTTGTTCTTGGTGGAATTACACGCTCTGAATCTGGAACTGCACGAAATAGCTTTGGCTCCCTTGAGTTTACATTGTTGAAGACCATGATTGATGCAATATTTCCACAACGGTAACAGTAGTTAGGAGCAGACCACACAGTCACCAACTTTTCATCAAACATGAATTTATATCCTTCATGAACTAACTGATGCGCTCGGCAGATTAGTTTCAGGTTGTTGATGTGAACAAACTGTAAAAGAAAAACATTTTTTAAAATGATTTTTAATGTAGAAAAGGATATGTCTGTGGCTGAACTTTATTATATTTAGTTAAAATACAAAAGCTGAGGAGAGAGCCACTTAGTGAATTAAGGAAAGTTTGACAAATTGTCAACCATGAGGACTGTACAGTCTTGCTACCAGATTCTTGATGCGTATTGTACTAACTCAGTTTGAATACAAATCAATAAATAAATTCATAAATAAGTAAAGTCAATTTACAAAAAAAAATTAGTCAACACACAAAGAAATCAAAGTCAAATCTCCAGCTTGTGCAGAGTCAACCTCCCTTAGCTGGGACAGTAATAAAAGAATTTATTTCTGGGTTCCTAATTTTGCAAAGAGAGGAAGGAAAGAAGCACAGAAAAGAGAAAAAACCGTCCAAGATCATTCCAAGTGGCTCCCTTTATCAAAAGGGATTATGGATACTTGAGATCCTTTTGTCATTCAACTCAAAATACTTTTGCAAGACAGCCTTAAATGATCATGTCTCCCAATTTAATTCAAACCCGAGTCACAAAACCGCTTCAGATTTCAGAAAAACATTTTTTGAACTATATCAGATAAGGGAGAATCGGAGGTGTAATTGACAGAAGACTGCAACAAGTTACAGAAGGACCTGACTAAATCTGCAAAGAAGATTTCTGTAATCCTTTTCATAAATGCATGCACATATACATTCAGCAAAATTTTGACAGGCTCGGTCTCTTTTCTGTTAGAAAACAAATGGCTGAGGAGTGATTTAACAAGGGCCTTTTAAATTATGAAAAGTTTTGACAGAACAGATACAGCAATAACATTTCCACAACTGTGGAAACGCATAACTAGAGGCCATCAATATAAGAAATATAATTACCAAGATATCCACTTGGATAAACAGACTTCTTCTGAAGCTCCCAAGAGTGGTGAGATGAAACATGCTACCACAGGGAGTAGAATGGAGAATAGTACAGATGTACCGGAGAAAGCTCGACAAGAATGATACAGGTGGGACAAAAGGGTTTCGATAGCAAATTCAGATTGAGGAGGATCAGGTAGAGCATAAAAAAAAAAAGAATATGAATATGAACTAATTGGGTTTAGTCTGTTTCAAAGCTCTATACAATTTGCAAGGGTAGAAATAGCGAGTAAATTGTGAAAAACAGTACACAACAGTAAGAAAGGAACTATGATTGGACTAGATATTCTAATTTTCAGAGGTAAAGCACAAGTACTGAACACGGACGACTTTTTTTTTTAAAAAAAACACCTATCCTTCCCAGCATTAAAATACCTTCAAATACACAGATGTGCTCGACAGAGAGTCTATAATTGCGAGCTCACCTCATTTGTAACCTTTGCTCCAAAGAGCCAGCCTGCTCCACGAGGACTGATGGCCCACGTATCTACATCCTCCGGATCTGACCATACTAGATCACAGAACGCTCCTTTGTGTGGGATCTCTTGGTTACGCTCAATGGTTCGGATTTGATCAAGAGTTTTGATATCAGGAGAAAGTCCACCATGCACGCACAAGATCTGTTCATCTATCAACTGATGTAGAAAAGTGCTAATTAATTATGTTTGTAATTAAATGCCCTATAAAAATATTATGGGCCAAAATTAATGTTCATGCATATATTTGAACATAAATTGACAAGACAAAAAAAGCCATTCAACCTATTGTGTCTGCCACTCCTTGCTAATCCACACCATGCACTGAGAGGTGATAGTGGCTGCTCTTGACTTCAAGCTTACATTTAACCAAGTGTGGCATTAGGAGCCCTAGAAAAATTGGAGTCAATGGAAATCAGGGGGAAATCTCGCCACTGGTTGAAGTCATACTGGGCACAAAGGAAAGTGGTGTGGTTGCTGGAGACCAGTCATCTCAGCCCCAGGACCCCTCTGCAGCAATTTGTCAGGGTGGTGTCCTAGACCCAACTATCTTCAGTTGCTTCATCAATGACCTTCCCTCCATCAGGAGGTCAGAAGAGGGAAGTTCGCTGATGATTGAACAACGTTCACACCATTCACGACTCCTCGGATACTGTGTAGTCCATGTCTAAATGCAGCAAGACCTAGATGATAGCAACAGAGATTGCTAGATCTTGGATAGCAGTTCTTTCTCCGCCCAAAAGGAAAGCAGTGAGCATCAGCAATTTGCTGCTGACGCAAAATTCGATCCAATGTATTTTTTTCCTAAAGTAGCTTTCATCTACCTGCATTTTCAAAATTTGGACAAATAATTCCCCCTCAAATCCATCTTCATCCTTTAGTTTCTTTTCCAATAAGTGTATCATCCCATTCCTAGCTTCCCTCCTAAAATACATTAATGTTTTTAGTCACCTTGTCAGCCCATCTCACTAGATGGTTTCTGTTCCCAAAAACATAAAATAAAATTCTTTGTAGCTGCAAAATTCCCCACTTTTGCATTATGATATTCAGTCACATCTGAAGCAGGTGGGATTTGAACCTGGGTCTCTTAGTCCAGCTGCAGGGACAGAACCACTGAGCCACAAGAACCCCTGGTCATGCCTTTTAAATGTATTTTCCTATTCCAGCTCAGCCAAACTGTGCCTCATACTTCCATAACTGCATTGATCGAGATTGAACCACAGCACTTCCATACAGAAATGTAAAACTATTCTGTATTGTGGTCACTCATCCTTAAAGGCTCTCTGACAATAAGATTATCAATTATCTCTTTTTCATTACATAATACTGGATCCAAAATAACCTGTCCTCTAATTGGCAATGCTGCTCTAGAAAACCATCCCTAAAAACCCCAGAAACCATTCCATAACTTTTGTGCTAAGTTGGTTTACCCAGTCTAAATGGAGGTTGAAGTCACCCATGACAAGTGATGATCAGCCGTGGCCTTGTTGAATGGTGGGACAGGTTCAAGAGGTTAAATGATCTACTCCATATTTCTTATGTTTATTCATGATAGCCTCAAGTATCGTCAAAAGGAAAATGCATTTTTGCAAAATCGTTGATGGACGAAAATGTTTCAAGACATTTAAAAGACCAAGGAGAGAAAGTGATATTGTGCCTAATTTGGAGCTATATTTTGTTACAGAGGAGGATATTTAAAAGGAGGGAGGGACATGAAGGTGTACAGCAGGAAATCCAGAGCATGGGCCACAATGACGAATCGTGTGATGAAAGCATGGGGGATAGATAACGCACAAGTAGATAAAGAGCAGACCATTGTTTTTTTTTAGGGTGTTGGGGGGCTGTGGCTTAGAGAAGGCAGAGCAAAAGACAGATTCTCCAGTAAGCCAAGGCAAATAACATACTAAAATTTGGAGATTCTGGAGGATCAAAAGCCAAATCAGTGTGGACAAGAGCATTTTCTGCTTCCCAGAGTCCACAGTCTCAAACTATGTCTCAGCTGTTTTTTCCTGTTAAAAAAACGCATCGAGATCAATAGTAGTAATTATATATGAGTGCATACAAGTTTTATTCAGATTTATTAGCACCATGTTTTGGAAGTAGGACAATACAGAACAGACAATTCATTGGCAAGATAAATCTTTTAAAACAAACTGGCGAATTGAACCACTTCTTTATGAAAGCATTTTCTCCACTTGAGTAGTGACATTATCACTGTATTAAAACAGCCATGCAGAATCCTTATTCTGACTAAGTATTATCCAGTCCCTTTGCCATTAGCCAAATGTAGGTAATTGAAAATCCAGGAGCATTTTTCACTAAATAAAAATTGTTATTTCAGTTGGTTAGATGGCTGGAGCATGGTATAGAATAAAGATGAGGCAAGGTTCATGAACTGCCTCTTTGTCCTATTCTTGTGATTGGAAAGTAATGACAAGTCACCATTGCCAGGAAAAAAGGTCTCAGGAAGAAGCATTGTCTGATAATGAACCAAGGAACTGCCTCAGGAAAGACAGCCATGAATAAACAAAATTGGAAGAGGGTAATAGATACCATTATAGGTATACACATTTCTATCACACAAACGTATATGCCAATCATTTCGTGTGTTTTCTGGTAAAGTGGTAAGTTTAAAGCCCAGTATGCAAGTATAATTTTTAGAAATGCTTCACTTCCTCAAATATAGAATGATGGCATGTGTGAGTTAAGTATACATCTTTTAAGTACATTTACGTGAATTACGCAAGCATTGGAAGATATTTATTTTAACGCATATGAATAACGATGTCACATTACCACACTTGTAGCTGGTCAACAATTTCTATCTAGCTTGAGGACCACATTGACCTAGGTCAGTAATTGTTCCAGTTTGCACATGGTAAATTTTGCAATTTAAGCTATAATTTTCTGTCTTGCACTTCTGCAATTTTGATATGCATTCATCCCATTTCCTGTTCCACATTGTGTGTCAGAACTTCCAAATATTTTAATATGTACTCCAGAATTCTTACCAAAAATGCCTTCACTTTGCTATTCCTCCTTTCACCCCAAGAAGCCAAAAGAACTCATAACATTGTTTCAGCCACTAACTATTGCAAACTCCTGCCTGTTCTTCTCCTTCTTCCCTGGCCCCTTTTGTTAAGTGCCTCAGCATGTTGTGCTACATTAAATACAGTAACAAAACATAGAGCAGATTCATATGCTGTACGCAAATTTTCAAAAAAAATGTTACTATTTCCACGTCTAAGCCAAGTAAATTAGAATGGAACCAGTAGCATCCCAATCTACGACAAGCTGAAACTGACCATCGTGGCCCATTTCATCCATCTGGGCTCTATATCAAAAATAGAAGCAATGACATAAAAATATAATATACTGAAAAGAAGAAAAATCAATTACATTATAGTTTTAGACGGACAAAATCTACATTTGTCTATTCTTCCATTCCACAAAATATTTACTTTCTTCTTCATGCAACATAAACTATCCTAATTTTCAGGATCTTTTCTCAAACACATTACTTGTGACACATTTGGAACAAAGCATGGAGTAATTCCTTATGTCATTTCTTGCAGTTGGCGTCTGAATGGTTATTCTGTAATGAGGTTTTTCATATTATTCTGGAATTGAACAGAAGTCCAAATGGTTTGAAAAGTGACTGACTTAGCAACGAATCTTCCTCTGACAACCCTTTAATTAATATCAGCACATCAACTTCACTTTAAAAGTCAAAAATGTATCTTTTATGACTGAATACTCAAAAATGACTGTACGAGATGCTGATCATTAATTTTAGCAAGTCTACATTTTATCTGAAAAACTGGCAAACAGAGACTTTGACACAGTGATCAAAGTATACTGCCCCACTTAAAATGTCTTTGGATCTGAAAAATCTCTCAATAAATGTTGCAGTTATTAGGTGATATTGTGGAATGTTGTAGTTCTGTATTCAACATTTGCTCTGATCACTGACCCTTGAAAATGCATCAGTGACAAGTGAAAATTGCATTTGTTGCTTCTATAGCAGCTAGCAGGTATTCTCCATTCGTTAAAGGGGACTCTGAGCTTTACCCAAGATACTTTCTTCTGACCACAGGCAATTGATAGACAAGTTAATCCCATCAACAGAAAGAATATTTCATGACCAGATCAAAACAGCTAAGGTTAGTCTTATTATACGATGAGCTCAGTTCAATTTCAATACTGTGCAGCATGCCTCCTGACATTAACAATTCTTTTCTATAAAATGTTTATTGATCACCTAACATCCAATTTGAATAGAATGTAACCCTGGTACACCACAAAAAAGTTTTTCAAAATAAACATTGATACTTACAGCTGCTACTGTGAGCATGTCGAAGACTTTGGTACAATACCGCCAAGCATTGGCATTTCCATACTTTGTTTGGCATTCATCTGTTAAAGTAGAATGTATTTAGTTTTTCTGAACATTCAAAATACTGGAATTTGACAAACATGATTTAGAAATGCTGTTCCATTTCCCAGGAGACAATCTAGTTTCATAAAATTTGTGAATTACCATAGAACCCATAGACTTGGGTGATTTGTCTGCTTTCATGATTTCCTCGGAGGAGTGTAATGCGATCAGGCCATTTTGCCTTCAATGCAAGGAGGTAGGTGAAAGTTTCAAGACTATAATACCCTCTATCCACAAAGTCACCCTGTTAAAGTAGCAAATTACATTAGTATTACAAGCAATTTAAAAGAATATGCAAGTGAATGAGAGGAAAAGTTTTTAAAAATATGATATGCATGATCGTGGGAAGCAGCCTTTTTTGATTCTGTGCAATCTTTATAGAGTAAAACACAATTTAAAAACTTTAAAATAATATGTAGTTCTAACATTCATTTTGATGATTCAGATGCATGCTTAACAGCGCCTTGTTTAAAATATGGCACAACTAGTTCTCTTATTTTCGTAAAGTCATGAAGTTATCAGTTTTGTTCAATTTGAGACATAAAAGAAACACCAACTACTGCACCAAGATCAAATAATCATTTTTAAAAATTCCACAACTGAACTCAAAATTGGTTTTAAAAGTTAAAAAAATGAATTTCAAATAACTACTTACCATAAAGATATAATTTGTATCAGGAACTGGACCTCCGGTTCTAAACAGCTCACCCAAGTCATAAAACTGTAAAAGCATTTAAAACTTGTCTGTTAATATGAACTTGTGCAGTGCAACCATGAAATCTATTGCAAAGATGGAAGAAACCATTAATTGTATAGTAAACATTTGATTTGAATATTCCTATTGCTTAAAACATACACGGCCTGCCTGTCCCAAACCCAAATTACTTAACTGTTAGCAAAGATGTTAGTCTTTCAGCAGTAATCTCAATGGCTGAAAATAAGATGCATTTCTGTCAAAACACTAGAGTAAATAGATCAAGCAAATATTTTGCTGTGGTGTACTGTAATAAGAATGTCATTTTTATTGGGATAATTGCTTTAATTGTGTGTTATGTACTAAACTCCAGTATCCATAAGGTTTTAGAATAGATTTGTAGCTCGGGTTGTGGTGGTTGGCTTGCCGAGCTGGTTCGTTGTTCTGCAGATGTTTCATTACCCTGCTGGGTAACATCATCACCGCGGCCTCCAAATGAAGCACTGTTGTGTTTTCCTGCCTGGTTTTTATCAACGGCGCTTCATTTGGAGGCCACAGTGATGACGTTACCCAGCAGGGTAATGAAACATCTGCGGAACAACGAACCAGCTCGGCAAGCCAACCAACCACAACATCCAGTATTCATACCCAAACTAATTGAGACTGATTAAATTTTAATAAGGGTGAAAGGTGTGGAACAAAACCCCACTCATATCGAACGAATGGACGTTGAGGATGAATGTCAAGCTGATGTTATAGTTGATGTCTTCTGGAATATGCATTACCTAAGAATAGATAAGGTTTCATTCTCAAGCACTAATATATCCACCTTGATGAACACAAAATATCACAGATTTATAAACATGTCTAATTTATACAAAACAAAACAAAAATCAACTTAAAGAAATTCGTACTAATTTGCACCAAATATTTGCCATTAATATAATTGAATCCATTTGCAGTTCTTTCTAAATTAGCCTACAGATTAGAATTCTAAATTCACATACAAAAAGCAGATTCATGGTTAAACAGCTTTACATTTTTTAAATCATGTGTCGTCACCCTGGAGGAGCTGCCCTTCAAGATACAAAAGAATAAATCTCAAATCAATGGAAATTGAACTCACCTGTCCATGTATGTCCCCACAAACAGTAACTGGTGTGGACACTGGCTGAACATTAGACTCTTCCAAAAGTAAGTCGCAAACATAGTCACAGAGTCGCTAAAATATAAGATATTTTGACCGAAATTAAAACCAAATTTCTAACAAAAGTTCAGTAATACAGAGTTTTGAAAACAGGTCAGTCATCTCCTTATAATCTTCATTATAATTTAATGGATAACACCACTGTGCTGGAGTCACTTCTAAAGTTAAATCCAAAAGTCTGCCCATTCACATCAGGGCTTCTACTTGTAGATAAAAGTTACAAAGCCAGAATACATTAGCCTCAGAACAGTACAACTCTTCACTCTTAATGACAATTGTGTTACTAACTATTTAACAAAAGTAAATATTAAAACCATTCTTTGATTTACTATAATATCTGCAAATAAATGAGCAAACTGTGGTGTCACTTGTGCTCCAACTACCCTGACAAGAAATTACCAACATCCACTTAGAAAACATTAAGCCACTTAAAAAAAAAAAAAATTGATTCACGAATGTGGGCATCAGCAGTTGGACCAGCATTTAGGGTCAGCTCCTAAGTGACGTTGAAAAGGTGATGGCGAGCTGCCTTCTTGAACTGAAGTCCTTGGGTGTTGCTCCAAAGACCAGGAAAGGAGTTCAATGAGATTGACCCAGCAAAACTGAAAAACAACAACAATGTGGTTCCATATCAGAATGGTGTGTGGCCTGGAGGGTTGCTCCATGAGAACACCACCTCCACCTGATGCCCTTCTCAGATGGGTAGAGACCACGGTTTGGAAGGAGCTATCGAGGAAGCCTTGATGAGTTGCTGCAGCGAGTTTTGGAGGGTAGTACACACTGCTGCCACTACGTTCAAGATGAGGGAGTGCAGGTGGACAGTGATAAAGATGCCAATTAACAGTCCAAGCCTGGACGTTGTCTTGGAATGCAGAATATGGACATGACCTCATGAACCGGAGGTGTTGTAAGTGGTGCTGAACATTGTGCGATCAGCTACAAACCTCCGCTTCCAACCTTATGACAGAGGGAAGGTCATTAATGAAGCAGCTGAAAAATGGTTATGCTTGAGACACTACCATGAGGAACTCAGGGGCTCGTGATACAGTGGCAGTGTCATCTTCTCTGGACCAGAAGGCCTGGGTTCAAGTCCCACTAGCTCCAGACATGTGTAATAACATCCCTGAATAGGTCGATTAGAAAATGTCTGCCCTGCGATAGAGTTACGATCTTCAACTCCTGCAGACTTGCTTTGTGCTGGCTGTCACTCAACCAAGGGAAATTTCTCTCTCTTCCTTCCTCCCTCCCTCAAATTCTCACTGACTCTTGCTTTGCTAAGGCCCATTGATACCATATTTATTCAAATGCTGCCGCGCTATCAAAGATTGCGACTGTCAGCTCTGGAATTCAGCTCTTCTGTACATTTTGAGCAAGGCTGTAAGGAGATCAGGAGTAAATGGTCCTAGGAAAGTGCAAAATGAGCAGTGATCA